AATTTTTCCTAGAACTTCCTTGTTCGTGATCCTTGCTGTCCATGATTATTCTCAGCATTCTTCTATAAAGCCACATCTCAAATGCTTCAAGTTTTTTAATAGTGGTGTCTGTAAGCGTCCATGCCTCCGCCCCGTACAACAACACAGAGAAAACATAGCATCTCAAATGTCTCATTTTTGTATCAAGGGATATGTTGTGACTTTTGAAGATGGCGCTCATTTTGTTAAAGACCGTTCTTGACTTTCTTATGCGGCACTTTATTTCCTGTACATTGCTCCACTGTTCCTTTATAATTCCCAGTTCCCAGGTAGCAATACTGTTTTACTCGCTCTATCTGCGTCCCATTAATATATAGATGAGCCCCGTTTATATTCTCCCTGCTGATAATCATTTGTTGTGTTTTGTGGGTATTAATGTTTAGTCCGTACTGTTGACTGTACTAGTTTATTCTGTCCATTAGCCTCTAAAGTCTCTCTAAACTATCTGCTATCACCGTGGTGTCGTCGACATATCTAACATTGTTTACTCTTTCACCATTTAGAAGGATGCCTTCGTCTATTCCGTAAAGAGCCTCGTTAAAAATTTTCTCTGAGTACATATTAAATATCAATGGCGATAGGATACATCCCTGTCTAACTATACGTAGTATTTTTATGTGATCTGTTTCTCCTCCGTTAATTTTCATATTATAAATATTCATACTAAATATTTTTTTAAGGTTTCGTCTTCCGATGACACAAAATTACAGAACAAAAATTTCATTTCATGTAAAAAACAAGCAATTTTGGGAAAAATCCACAATTTATTGTATCGTGATTTATTACCAAACATAAAATGATCAGTTTTAGGAAATTATTACAAATTTTCTGTTAAATTCTAGTTAAAATATTACAATGAACTAACGACTGGACAAACTGGATATACTTTCGTGAGTATATCATAACGTGGCGCCGCTAAAAAAATAAACAAATCATAGTTTCCCATTGTATAAATATTAGGATAACTCCTTTACGTTTTAAAATATTATATTATAGATAAAGGAGGTACAAAGCATCGGGAATCATCTTCTTGGAACGTACGGTTTGTTGGGAAATAATTTTTTATCTTAACTAGAGTTCAAACCGAATTGATTATATTAAAAACTAATTTTGATGTTATCGGAAAAATTATTCACGAAAATTTTAATAAAAAATCCACGAAACTGGTATGATTTTAGTAGATAGGAAGTTTTTGCACGAGAAGATCGTGAAAAAGCATAGAAGAAGGCAAACGAACGATATCTTCCTCTTCATTAAGAATTTTATTATGCTGATTATCTATTTTTGCATCATATTGCTAATTAACATTTGAATCAAACTTTGGCTGTCTTCGTTAAAATGATATACACAAGAATATAAACTCCCATAAAGTCTCATGTAAAATTTAAATCAAATTTAATATTGGGATCATTTGGTGAATTCACAAACCCAGGGTGCGCTACTGACGACATGAGTGTTTGACTTTCACCTCAGAAATTATTTTCATTTATATAGTTTAGCCACAAAGCTAGTAATAGTATTTGCTATTTCCTTTTATTGTGCTTATTTGCTTAAATTCTATTATCTAGGACTTCGTTACTCTTCACATAAACGTTTATTAAAAATCTTTGAAATTAATTCCTGAAGTACAGTTGGTGCATACTTCACAAACTCTACAGGAGTATCTCTTAACCACGCTGAATTGTCAATGATCTAAATGACGCTGTCATTCCAGCATTCCAATAAATCTGCTCTCTACTAAAGAGCATCCAGAGATATGCCATTTTGGAATAAAGACCTGAGAGAAGTGGGGAGAATACAGAACCACACAGACTGAATACTATACAGCTATATGAGAAGCCAGGAGAGACATATGGAGGAAGCACTGTGAGAAAACTCAAAGCACTCATGCTTGTGCTAAACTTCAAAAGGTGCTCTCAAAGGAGGAAACTCAGTCAGTTAACTCACTCCTCAATAATAAGAGCAAGTATACCCATACAAAAAGAGACACGGCTGAAGAGCTCTTCAGAGTGTACTTCCTTGGATCACAAATAGTTGAATCACCAATTAACTGTTCATCAGCACTCAACGAGGCTTTGCAAATATCCTCATGAACTAACTGACACAGTCAAAATATTGTAAATTATAAAAAAGTAGCATGGACTATAAACTCATGCGAGTCGTATAAGTCACAGAAGACGTTCAAGACGGCCAAGAGAAACTGCTTGACAGATATATCAGGGATGAAACATTGGTACACATTTCAGTACATCCAATACATTTTAATAGCAGGAAATTCAACCGAAACAACACTCCACAGACTCGTCGAACAAGTGGAGAACAAAATTGAAAATAAATAGGTGATGCTGGAACATTTTTGGATAGAGAGGTGGCTTTCGAAAAAACTACTATTTTATACCTAAACAGATCTTACGAATCTAGTTATAGTGTTTAAAATTGTTCAGTATGTGGAATAATATGAGCAAGGTAAGTTAAAATACGTCGTCCTCATAATCCGGTGAGAATTAACTACCAATAAGATATAAAATAAGAGCGTCATATGCATTCCATCATTTTGTGTTTCCATCATTGAGAGTTTATTATTCAATCCACAACTCATCAGCAAAATTAAGAATCGGTTATCGCTTTCCAAAGAAGAATAATCTCGACGATTTTATAAAAAGTTTGGTTTCTTTCCGACAAGTACAAGTGCACTAATTGCTGGAAAATAAGAGACCATGGTTTAAGCTGGATAGGGTTTGTTTAAAATCTAGATGTTAATCAACCAATACGAAGAATTGCTGTTTTATAAGTTCCTGGAAGAAGTATAAGAAGAAAACCAAAGAAAACCCATTATAGAAACGTAATTATGGAGTCTGACTAGATATAGGGATAAAAGCAAAGAAAACGAATGCGATTTTACTAAATACAGAAAGATAGAGCTATGACTGGAACAGTGGAACAAAAAATGGTCTAAAACTTGTAAGAAAAACTTGAATCCCTAGAACGATCGCTTGAAGATGGAGTTACTTTTACAAATAAGATGGCAAGTAGCAAAACAATAGTAAAGCAACAACCAAACATGATGAGACATGTTTGTGAGATATAATTTGTTTATGGAATGATAAAATTGTTAAAAAAGAGAAGTTAAATCGGCCCAGAAAAAAGACCAAGATATCAAAAAAATAACTATGTTCAAAAATAATTGTTACAAAATATATCAGTCTTATCTAATAAGTTCAAAAATATTTTACCGTGGTGATAAGAATCAATCATAATCCTAAGATGTCAATAAAAACAAAATGCCAATCGCATTAAACACGAAACAAACAAACATTGAAAAAAAAACCACTCAACAAAAGCAACTTAACAGAATTTAGTATTTTGCTTTGGATTTACCTTTTTCAATTTGAACAGGAACTTTTTCGCATTCACATACATTAATCCTGCCAACACCATAGTATTTTTAGAACTGATTAACTCACTTACACCTGCTTAAGGTGCATATTTTTTTCGGAAGATACACAGATGATAACAACGGTGTATTTGTTGATAAGATACGTCTTATGACAGATAACAATTAATCTCTGACCGAATTACACATCATTTTGCTTTAATTAGTCGTTACTCGGGGGATAAATGATCAAAACATAACAATACTCTACCGGATCAAACAAGGATGTATATTTATATCTTATTTTCGAAAACAACGATGTGTTTCTGTACGATAACGAACATCGTTCAAGATTCTTTGGTCGCTGTGTTTCTGTATATGTTCAATAAGCAACTTCAGCTTTATAAAAAAAAAAAAAAAAACGAAAAAGAATCTCCGCCTCCGGTCCCAAGCCTGGATAAAGGAGGAGGGTTGAGGCAATGGGCTAGCAACTCATCCATTGTCAAATAAATAAATGCTAAAAATTTCGACCAAAAGCCTCATAATACAAAGGATGAATGAAAACAAAGACGACTAATGCAACGGAAAAAGAAAATTATATTGGCTACATGGAATGTACAAGGACTTAGAACCAAACAAGGAGACGTACGCAAAGAAATGAATCTAACCGGATCTTATTTTCAACCGGTGTTCTTCTTTCAGGAAAGCGTTCTTTGCATAAGGCTTGAGCCTCTCGAGCATTTTCCTACATTCACAACCATAAAGCAACAACATATCTACGTATTCATTAGGTGTCAATAGGACAGGCATTTTTACTACTGTATGAACTCACGATATTTCAAGATTCTGTTTTACATCTACAATGAACGTATTAGTGAGTAAACACAAGAAGTGACATTAGCTGTTACTATTTACAGTTTTCAAAAAACGATTTAAATGAAATATCAAGGACAACTTGCTTTTCTTGTGAATCTTTAAAAACTATAACAATATGCTAGTTTCAGATTGATTTGGGAGATGATAAATGCATCAATAAATTGAAAATTTTGCGTATTTACTAACATTAATACCCTCATTGCGGTATACCGTTGAATTTGCGATAAAAGCCTTTCGTTTGACCTAACCTTCTTCCCCATGATCCATTTAATTTTTTTCATATTGTATCAATGCCACAACGCCAGTGATGACGTCAAAGATCTCATGTATAGATCAATTGAGAGTATTGTAGGTCCAATTGGCATTTCCCAATTTTCAGATAAAAATATTAATTGCTTCGTGAATTATAGGCTGTTAAAAACATCTTCCAACACCCTGTATACTTGTGCGAATATATTATAAATTTAGCTGTAATATTTTTTAGGATTTCAAAAAGAAAAAAATATACAGAGTGATCCACTTAAAACAAAAAAGTTGATTAAGTAGAAAAAATGGAAAATCTGCCAAAAATTTGAATACTATCGTACTATCGTTTTTGATATACTTAATGAATGACAAAACCTGAAAAAACAAATAGTATATAATGTAATAATAAAGCAAGCTGTGTTAACTAAAGACTATAATATATTACTGTAAGAAGCAATGCACCTACCTCTTGCGGAAGCAAATGGGAGCAGGACATTGAAGCTGGCCTTCTGATATATCTCTGCGAGTTGGTTCGTCGCAACGAGTTATTGATGCGTTGAAAGGGAGGTCTTATAGCCACCACCAATCCGTTACCCACTTGGTTTCCATCTCTAAATAATAAATACCACATGCAACCCAGTTAGACTAGATATAATCATTATTGCTATTCTACTATGTACTAGTAATAGTAGGTAAAGGTAATATACGGGGTGGTCAATCTCTTTTTGGATTATCTCCTATATATAAAATGTTCAGAACTATTAGCTGTACTATTTAAGGCAGAAAATTTTTGTCAAGTGCTTTGAATTGTTGCTTAACCTACAATTGGTCTATTGAAATATCTTACGCTAAATAAATCACAATAAATCACAAAATAAAAATATTGACAATTCAAATATGGTTAATATTTAACTTCATTGTGACCAAACGCAACCCGTTAAACACATTCTGCATTACGTATGGCCTAAATTTTACACCAATATACCCTGGCAAATGTGTTATATTTTGAAAAAAAATTGGAATGCGCTTAAGTCGTAGAACAATTTTAACACTTTTTTAAATATAGATTTAAGCCCTCTACAAATAGTTTCTCATAACTTTTGATTTAAAATAATTAGGGAAACAGGAATTCTACAGTTTAGAATATCCCATTTAGCTTCCTATGGTCCGTTTGACGATTCACCACCCGATATATTGACCAACCCATAATATTTGTTATTCGAATTAATAAAGTATAATTATATAAATAAGAGGACTGTAAAAATAGATCATATTTTTGTAATGTTTCATGATTAATATTTATACAGATTTTATAAAAAATTATCTCTATATATCCAATTTTTTGACATGATTTGTTGGCGTAGGATACTATATCCTTTTGCCACATTATAACATATTTAAAGTACCAACATTATGGCATGCCCTTTAAATTAATGAAACCAGGTGACCCCCAAAATTATATTTTGTTTATGTTGACATAAGAAGAAACCCAGATCCATCGATGACACACCAGCCAACACTGCCTCCTCATTCGTTCACACGGTGTCCTAGCTAATAAAATCCCTCAGAAGTAACTTTCTCACGACTCTTCTTATTTTGGAGGCATATTTTGCAATCTCAAAAACCGCCTGCACTCCAAACAAGAATACAGAATGGACATGGCTGATACTTGCCCTGGGTCCGTCAACATTCGATATTAGTCAACCCAAGATGCCCAATATCGTTCCAGTTCTCTGAGTTCTGAGAAAACAGTTCCGCTATAAATTTAACTTATGGTAGTACACACTCTCATTCATCGCAACTTCTACCTCTCCACACTGCGAGCAGTGATAGCATCTTTTCACAGATAAGTAACCTTTCGGTCTTGAGCACCCCGATTCCCAAACATCTCATTACATCCACCAACAACAATCACTTCATTTAGAGCACCCTCTAACTCATAATTCATCCAGCTAGCTCAATCTTCTCTGAAATACCTCTCTCAACCTCCCCACCTTCTGTCCTTACTTTTCACATTATCGTCGCGTGGACAACATTCTCTCTGTTCTATTTTATAAGTCTCAGTTGTCACTTTCACTCAGGCATTTGCCTTGTTCGTCCTCTGTCTCAGAGTCCCAGAATCCCTGAGAAGGTTTTGATATTGATATCTTGTCCAATCAAGACGTTTCTAACTTTTCTTTTCATTTCTTTTCTAACACTTGTGATGAGATCATACAGAAACTGCTCATTACTTTCTTCCAAACAGATGTGGTAATAAGTAGTATCCATATACAATATACATCTCTCATTTTATTCACAAAACCTGTCCTCTTTTAGGCTCCAGGTGATTTTAGACTAGAGACAGTCTTATTGCGACAGCATTCCTCTCGTTTAATCACCATCTGTTTCTGGATTACACATACCATATTCAGTTCACTCAGAACCACCCATCACTATATTTTAGATCGTTTTCCACAAAAGATCCATCGTTGCTCCTCACCTACTCCTTGTACGTTACTTCATTGTTATCTCTCGATCCTAGACACTCATTCTCATTCGTGTTGGGTTATGCTCATCTCAATGATGTGCACGACCCAGCGGAAGCTAAGGGATGCTTGAAGATCGGGTAACAAGGAATTCCAAGCTTCACTAGCCTTCTCCAGACAAAGTGAGATAGTGATAATCCATTCTCTAAAATCTTGTGTCACGAGTAAGAGTATCAACGTAGACTAAGTAATTTAGAAACTATGGACCTGGATCACTAAAGTCTATCCGAAACTAACAAATATACTTGTAAGGTGCACACAAAATATCTTTCAGGGTACAGTATGAGGTCTATGTGGCCAAAAGACCTCTTTATCTACAATATACAATTTACAAAGGTCCTCGTAGCCTTTTCCATTGGCAAAAGTAGTAATCAAAGCTTTTACGGAAAATCTATCAAGATCTTTGTGTTTCATTAGATACATGCCAAAGACGTTTCATTATTAAGTTGGGTTCTTTGGTCTTAATGAGGATCTTCTTAAAAGACTCTTGATCTACATGAAATCATATATTTGAGTGTTATTTAAATAAAATCGGGGACATCCAATTCGTGAATGTCGTGTATTTTTGAGTGGACTTTTCTTTTAAAAATGTTTATATAGCCATATGAAAAAGTTCTTACGGTTATTAGAAAAAGCTGTTCCCAGAAAAATTATTGTTTACTTGGTTATCAAACTTCACCACCATCATTACCATATTCAATTCTGAGTGTTAACCTAATTTTATTCCTTGTATATTCCGCATGAGTAATAATTTCCGGTGTTAAATTACTCGTCAGGATTAATTGTTAAAGAAACATCCGGAGATTATTATTTTGTCTGGCCATTGTGCAATGTTTTCCAGTTAAATTTGAATCATCGAATCGCACCATATTTGCATTATCAGAAAAATGCAAATATTTGATTTCGAATTTATTTTTCGTACATTAAATACAATGGTTCTGTCAACAACTTAATATTTGCTTCACATTGTTCGTAATTAGAAAGAAAAAAACAAATAGTTATTCTCGAATCATCACGCCAATCATAACCGTAGTGTTGTTTGATAAGATTATTGAAAATATAAGACAGCCAATTCAGAAAAAACGCAGTTCGAGACAAAATATCATCAAGGAGCTCAAGAAACACATAAAAATTAAACAGAATCATCAACCATCCAACCAAGATATTCTTAAATTATACTAAAAACTAAGGCATCCGATATTATTTAAGTTTTTTTATGGTCTTTGAAGATACAGGCTACACAATAAACATACTTGGTGAGCAATTAAAAATGGCAAAAATAAGAGAAGTGAAGAAGTAATGGAGCGATTACTAGCAGGCAACAAAATCTAACGGACATACCATAGGCTAATGAAGGACAAGAACTTATTCAGAAATACAAAACTGAAAATATACAGAGTTTCTATTAGACCAGTAGTTACATAGGCAGCTGAGACAATGTGCCTCACAGATAAAAATGAAGAATGGTTAAGAATATTTGAAACGAAAATCCTCAGAAGAATTATGGACCCGATAAGAATGGAAAAAGGAAGAAATTAGAAGATTGAACCATGAAATAAGCGTTTGAATTAGCGAATGAACCATTAAAGAGCAGAGACTACATGACTCGGCAAATAGCAAGGAGGAAAATTTCCTACTGATTAAGAAGGTCACCAGATGGAAGCCAAAAACTGAAAGACCAAGGGAAAGACCTAAAAACAGATGGGGGGACCAGGTTTTGAGAGATATCAAAAATCTGAAAATGAGAAACTAGTGGGACCTACGCATAGATCGAAATAAGTGGAAGAAAATTGTATCAACAACCTCTGACAATACACAAGAATAATAGAGCTTGATTCACCGCAATAAGCGAATCAAAAAACGCATAAGTAAGACTGGCAAACATTCCAGGAATATGTGGTAGACTAGGCATGAAGAAAACAAGAACTACAGCAATTATCCGCAATCGGATGGTATGGCAGAACGGATGAATAAGACAGTTGGCAAGTATTTAATAAATATGGTGTCCGATCATCAGCGAGATAGGGACCAATATTTTCTGTTCTTCACAATGGCCTACAGATCTGCTGTTAACGAATTAACAGGCCAGACACCAGCCAGAGTCCTATTCGGACGCGAGATGCGACTACCTTGTGATATAGAGTTTGGGTGCTCACCTGGAGAAGATGTAGCAGGTGAAGATTATGTGATCGAATTACGAAGGAGAATAGACGATGTACACGAGTTGGTCCGTTCCCATCTTTAGATTGCTAGCGACCGAATGAAAAAACGGTACGATACGCAAGTGGAGTGCTTTAAGAAGAACGACAAAGTCTGGCTCTATAATACCAAGAAGCGAAAAGGTTGTTCTCCCAAGTTGCAGCAGTTTTGGGAAGGTCCATACCTCATTATGGAGAAGATCAACGATGCCATCTACCGAATAAGCGAGATTCCGAGGGGAAAGCTGATGATAGTACACCATAACCGGCTGGCGTCTTTAGAAGGTGACCACGACATAGATGAAGAAGTGGAAGTAAACCAAGTCCAAGATGTGTCTGACCTCACGTTTGAGGAATTCATGAGGGTCTATGGAGGTACCGGTAAAGCAAGCCATGGTGTTACCACTGAAGAAAAGCAAGATCTACTCGTGCTTCCCGATGACTACTCACTGGCCCTTACTATCCCGGCCAGTATCAAAGACGCACCAGGGTTGGCATCCGTATTTCGAAGGAAGTTCGGTCGAGTAGCAGAACTTGCTATGCCAAGTGCCAGCTCCAGGAAAGCCTTGAAACTCCAATATGCATCTCGTTACCTTTTCTAACTGGAAACAAAAGACACTGTCGGTGACCAACCTACCTACAGAGATGTATGGGAAGCCTTACTTCAGTTGAGAGAGCACGTACTAGAGTCCGATGTGCAAAAGTTAGCAATGCCAAAGTTGGAGTACCGCCCATTGGTTTAGAGGTTATCCGAAGTATTATGGGATTTAGGAAAGGTCTGGGAACACGAGATGCACTGTTTGCAGTAAGTGTTCTTTCGCAGAGATGCTTAGATATTAATCAGGAAGTATATGCCTGTTTCATTGATTTTGAGAAGGCATTTGACA